TCCAGAACACCTGTAACTCACTCCCATTCCAGATTGCCTGTAACTCATTCCCATTCCAGTACACCGGTAACTCACTGTCATTCCAGAGCACTTGTAACTCACTGTCATTCCAGAGTGCCTGTGACTCACTCCCATTCCAGAGTGCCTGAGACTCACTCCCAATCCAGAGCACCTATGACTCACTCCCATTCCAGTACACCGGTAACTCACTCTCATTCCAGAGCACTTGTAACTCACTTTCATTCCAAAATGCCTGTGACTCACCCACGTTCCAGAGTGCCTGTAACTCACTCCCATTCCTGTGCACCTGTATCTCACTCCCATTCCATAGCGCCTGTAACTCACTGAAATTCAAGAGCACCTGTGACTCACTCCCATTCTAGAGCACCTGTAACTCACTTTCATTCCAGAGTGCCCATAACTCACTCCCATTCCAGAGCGCTTGTATCTCACTCTTCATTCTAGAGCACCTGTAACTCACTCCCATTCCCTTGCGCCTGTAACTCACTACCATTCCAGTGCGCCTGTATCTCACTCCCATTCCAGGGTGCCTGTAACTCATTCTCGTTCTAGAGTTGCAGTGACTCACTCTCATTCCAGAGCACCTGTGTGTCATTCGCCATTCTCAAGAGTTTTATAACCATTCCCTGGCAAGGGTTCCTAACTTGTTACATTTCCAGATGGTATATCGTTAGCTGGTTATGTTCCTTTCTGAGGAGAGATACACTGGTTCGATTCCACCCTCAGCTAATCGCAACAAGGTTAACTTCGAAAGGATCCCTTCCATCATGGATACGTCTTCGCAAAAGTATTCATGCTGTAAATGGAGTTATTTTCACCATGTTTTCTTGATTTAAAGAAACAGTAAGTTTATTAGTTACTAAAACATGAGAAAAGATAATAAAATGAGATACACATACATATAGAAATAAAAGGTGAGTCCAAAAATTAAAGATTAAAAAATATACAATTCACTCTTTCGCTTGTCTGTTATAAATAGATTGTGGTCATTAAAGTGGGTGGCTTTAGGAGCACTGACTTTGACAGTCTAGTTTTTTGGAGATTCTTGGTTCTGTGTTAGCTGAACGGAGTTTTTCCAGTTTCCTTCAACAGTGTTTTGCTGAGTTGACTTGTTTTCAGCAGAGCTTATTTCTTTTTACCTGCACATACAGGGTTGGTTTTCTATCTTACTCGAGTGCTTTTTCTGGCATCATTAACTGGTGAAACAATCTTCGATTATTTGCCTTTTGATTTCTCCTTTGACGTGTTTTACTTCACCCCATTTTACACTTGGTTCCTGGTGGCCTGCATGCAACACAGAATTGTTGTTGCATTTCCTTCTTGCTTGGTGTTTTGGAAGACATTTGTTTCGTATTTTGTGTTTTTCCTGCAAACCGATATAGGTTGTTGGTGCATTTTTACCTAAGCCACAGTCATTTTGCTCAAAAATATCTCAAAAATTTTGATTTGATTTGATTTATTATTGTCACATGTACATAAGTACAGTGAAAAGTTCTGTTTTGTGCGCAGTACAAGCAGATCATACCATACAAAGATCATACAGTGATAGAACAGAGCGAGGAATATACAGTTACAGCTGCAAAAAAAGTGCACAAAAAGCAAGGTCAGCATTAGATTTGAAATTTGAGAGGTCCTTTCAGAAGTCTAGTGGGGAAGAAACTGTTCTCGAACCTGTCGGTATGTGTGTTTAAGCTTTTGTATCTTCTGCCTGATGGAAGAGATTGGAAGGGTTTATAACCGGTGTGGAAGGAGTCTTTGATGATATTGGTTGCCCTTGTGTTAAGGTCTTTCAGTCCTTGTCATTTCTGCTTGCAAAAGCTGGCATTATGCCTTTGAAAAGTTACAGCCACCATGGAAATGGAGATGTTAAGAGATAGTAAGAACTGCTGATGCTGGAGTCTGAGGTAACACAGTGTGGAGCTGGAGGAACACAGCAGACCAGGCAGCATCAGAGGAGCTG